TGGTGGCTAATGGCCGTAATGCACAACAGCATTTGCCTCATCTGTTAGTAACAGTTTAGCCTAAAATGCAGCATGCCACCAACAGTGACCAGTATAAGTAAAGAAAAAAACTCTTCCCCCCCACTGCACACAATGGTATTTAAGAGAATTTGTTCTAAGAGGAGTATACAGGATGCCAATTAAGACCCCTCCTTTTAAAAACACTGGTTGCCTTGCAATCATACTAATCCAGTGGCTTTCAGTCACAAGCCATCAAGATCAGATTACTCTATTTGCTGTGCTGGTTGTCCAGTGAAAGTGTCTTAGAACTACTAAAGCTAGCCAGTGCTCAGGTTGTTAACTGGACAGCAGGGGAGTGTTGCCACGGCAAGGCAACTGATGGGGCCTGCTACAGAACTCTGCAGAAGCTTTACTACAGACTTTATTAGTTTAGGATGGAGGCAGGGAAGAGTTTTTATATTTGCCTGTGATCCCATTAGAGAGGTTTTACTTCCTGTAGCTGTCACTTCCATACAAGAAAATGACATCACCACTGGGACAGGAAGTTATGGATGGCAATAAAAATGTAGTCAGAAGAAATAATTTCTCACTCTGCTAAAATGTGTCTTTGCCTGTGACCCTGATGGAGATTTTATATCATTTCCTGTCCAGATAGGAAGCGAGGGGAAATCTTCTCAATAAATAATAGTAAAATACAGACAACTAACTCTTCCCTGCTCTATCCAATACTAAATCAAATGATTTGGTTACGGTTGGGCTTTGATTACAGCTGTACTAAATACAGGTTTACTTTAAGGCACAGGATGTTACATATGACATTGCTTATGCTGCAATACAACAGGCAGATTCAGATCAGATTCTCCTTCACTTGACATAAAAAATACATAATCTTATTGCACAAAGAACTCCAAGTAAGTAGAGTGTACAATGTTTCTTAAAAAGAACCTGCAATGAACACACAACCAAATCAAAACAATACACACTTTTTTTGTACATTAATAGTGTTGTACTAATATACAAATGTACAGATTTGTTTTTTTATACATACAAAAGTAGTTTTCATTGACAAAAGTGTACAACTAAAATGTTAAGAAATTTCTTTTTCAATATTTGCATTGATAAAAAAAAACCAGAAGACCCATGATTTCTGCTACAAGCTGGACACCTCCAAGACATATCAGACTAGATATGCTCTCTGAAACCATCCTGTTCTTGTCTTCTCCAGACGCGGAGGACTGAGGAACTACCACACGAGTTAAAAAACTGTAAAAAGGAAAAAAAAAGCTTAATTCAGTAGAGTCGGTCTATCCAAAATGGATATATTTAGTGACTTTTCTTGCAGGTGGGTTGACTTGCTTGCATTCTTTATGGCAGTCGTGACCAACTTCTGATTTTCCCTTTAAGAACTTTTCTAAAGGGTCAGAGGAAGAAATATACGTTGAAAGCGAACATGGGAATGCATAACAGAATAGCTAAAAAGGTGTGAAACAAAAACTATTTGACTAGATGCTGCCAATCTAATACATATTTTTCCTTTACTGGACCTGAGTAAGCGGCTAGACTTAAAAATCTCAGACTATTCTGGGGACCGAGTGATGGACAAGAAGTACCAAGCTTGTGTTGATTGAGCACAAGGGCTTTAGTAACGCTAGGGAGGTAAAAATCTATAGCCGACTATAAACTGTTATGGCCAGGATTCAGCCAAAAGTCAATCAGTGTGTTTGGCCCAGTGGGCACCCTTCCATTTGACAAAAGTACATTTTTTCGACTTTGGTCAACAAAGCTGCTCTGAACATTTTTGGATGAACTGTTTGGGTATACGAACAGTGGCACACCCACCAGTGTCACACCCAGGAGGGGATTCTCCTATTCATGTTGTTTAGCATGGATGGAGAAATTGTCACTTTTTTCTTGCTTAATACAATAGCTCAGAATATAATATTTTATTTATTACAGGTATTTATATAGCAACGACAATTTTTTCTGTTGCTTAGCCCATGGGTCAGCTTTTGAGCTAGATACCTCAGCCTCCCCTACCTAGCTATACCTATTAGAAAGACAACCAAGAAGGTCTCGCTCTGTTCTGAGACCCAACCATAGAGCTCACAAAAGAAGTTTGCGGCAGAAGCAACAGCACATTGACTGGCATTCTATATTCACTTTCTTTTTTCATTCTCACTTTACTCACACAGCTAGCTGCCTTTAGCTTCTATACAGTGTGCAGTTTGGATCACTTTGGCTTATAAACAACGTGCTGACATTTTTGTTGATCCACAATCAGCACCATTTACATAATGTTCCTCTGTTGTATGATATTCAAGAGGCTTAGGGGAGACACACATACAGTAATGTATTACCATTACAATAAAGCATTGTACATTTTTATTACTATAGGGAGAGTCTTATATTCAAACCACTGACTTTATCTGCCTTGTGTGCAACAATGATGACTAGCAGAGAGCAGCTTGACATATTGGGAATATGCTTCTTTATTAGATTGCAGACCTGGTTACCCTGCTGTGTTATTAACATGCTGTAAACTGTGATGCTTCTTAGTAGGGAAGTGTGAAATGGCCAAACTACCAAGGGCCTGTGGGACCAGTTGGATTAAACAGAGCAGAAAGAAAGCATGTCAATTCATTTCACAGATGGAAGGACTCCAACATTCTGCTGACACAATATAAAGACGTATAACAGCAAGGATAGCTGTAACGCTCCAAGGATGAGTTCATTTAGAGGAGTATGAAATATGGGGGAGAGAGACGAGCATAAAACATAATGCATATTGTTTTAAAGTTCATTCCCCATACTTGATGTCTGATTAAAGTGTTCCAGAGGACATTGCAGAAACAGCTTTACTTTTCAAAAGTGTAATTCCATCCAAAACTTGATTTAATTTTGCTGTGGAAATAGCAAGAGAAGCTGCAGACCATCTATCGGGTGTTTACAACTGTAGCCTGTAGCCCTGTTGGGATTATTTTGCACCCACTCTGCCAAAACAAAAAAGTGTCATTACCGCTGTGTCCTTGCTAGAAAGATTACCCCTCCCTTCCTGTCCCCTCCTTAAAAGTAGAACTATGGGGTTAAGCGTTTTTGCCAATAGTTCTCCTTAGGGTAACGGGAGGACACAAACTAGCGTCCCCCCGTCACCCTAGGCTCAGTATACCGCAAGCTGTAGCTCAGAGACGCCGCAGCTGAAGCGGATCCCGACAATTATGTCTGGATCCGCCCAGCTGCGTGACTGACAGCTGGCTCTGCCTATCTAGAGGCAGAGCCAGCTGTACCCGCCCCCTCCCCCGTCCGTTCCGCCAGTCAGCGCTGGCGGATCGGAGCGGGGGGAATCCAGCCCCTCCCTTGTCACGGCAGAGAGCCGTGACAGGATCGAGAGGTGAGCGAATGCCGGTATGTGTTCGCTCACCTCCCGATCTACTAAGCCGACCTGTGACAGTCTCATTGTCACAGGTCGGTTAGAACTATGAGGTGAATGAAAAGCACTCACCTCATAGTTCTCATTTAAGAAAAAAAAAAAAATGGATAGATAAAATTCAATTTCATTCAATACACAGAATATTACTGGATATTGACTTGAGTATAATAAGCACCAGATATTGTTGATCCAGGGAATACAAGATTGCCTTATGGGGGCAGGAATTACTTTTTTCTCCCCTGCAGGAGAAAATTGAACAATGCTTTATGGGGGGGCTCCTTCCTCTGGATCAACAGTGGGTAACCACTGTGATTTTTTTTTTCCCTCTTATCTCTATAGATTGAACTCTATGGACTTTTTCTACCTGACTATGTAATTATGCCGCCAGTTCCCTGTAATCAGCAGTGGAAATTCAGTAGTTTTGGTGCCTTTTATTTGACAAACGCGTCTCTGTATCTTGACACTGCAATGAATGAATTATGGCTGTGGCCAGTTTTAATTTAGTATTATTCTGTACAGATTAAGTAGACTCTGACAGACGTGACAGAAACATGTCACTGTATGTAGTTAGTGAACTGCTGTATGTCGAAGCAGTTTTGCTCTGTTACGATATGCATTCTTTGATTATGAGGTTTGCATTTCAGACCTCTCCCTACCACTGTCTGTGCCTTGTTATTGGACATGAAATGTGATAGGTAGCATCAGATAACAGCAGCAAGGTCTGAAGGTGAAAACACCAACATCCTGGATGAAGCTGTATTTACACAACTGAGGCACACAAGTCTCAGGGCTCTTGGAGCACTCTGATTAGAAAATACATTAAGGGCCCGTTCCCACCAGACAGTGCGTTCCGGACCAATTCTGGCTGGAACGCACTGGATCGTATTGTGGCCGGCTCACTTTGTTATGGGGTGGGAGAGGGCATGGAGGTGCATTGACCTCAATGGCACCATAGTCGCGCCCTCCGGCAGCAATGCAATTGGCCGCATGGAAACGGAAGGCAAATTTAATGCCTGTGGTCCGGTCAGAAAAAATTGTGCTTGCAGAATTTTTTCTGACCGGACTTCAGGCATTGATGTGCCAATGTGTTCCAGTGTGGCCGATCACATTGTGGCCAGAGGACTTGGCTGCAGTGTCACTCACTTTAATGCACCGCCATGCCCCCTCCCCCCCATAACAAAATGCGATCCAGTGCGCTCTGGCCACAATCTGGCCGGAATCCACCGAGGATGGTGTGAACGAGACTAAATGGTTCCTGCTGTAAAGTCTGGGTTCCATTTTGTTATTAAGGACAGGTACACTTTCATTTAGTCGTAAAATCATTATTTTCTTAATTTTTTTATCAGGCAAAAAAAAAAAAATCCAGCAAATCTGCGCATAATGAATCCAAAACACAGAGAATAAATGAAGGAGTGACTAACTAGAAGCATCACCAATGAGCAGGATGGTTAATTTTTGGGTGATTATACGAGAAGGTTTCAGCTTTTCCTCTATGTTCCTTCTAACTGATCCCGACAACACATTCTATACAGGTTATAAAATAAATAAATTGCATAATTTTAAAACATACCTTTAAACCTCAAGTCTCCACTGTGCTTTGATCCTGAAAGAAACACCAAAATCATTTCTACTTGACCAAAAGACTATAAAAACAGACACCTAAATAATATCATGATCCACACAGTTGTTCTCACAGTCTAAATATCAACAAAATGAATCAAAGTATAGTTACTTCTAGGCACCTTTTACATGGGTGTTCCATCAGTTTTTGATCCGATTACACAAATCTAAAAGCGGACTGCAATGTATGTATCGTCAACCAGATGTAAGTGGAGGTCCGTCTACTTATATCTGTGACTGTTCAGGTTCCTCAGACTGAACACAATAGGTATACGCATGGCCACTAACAGCTCCTCGTAGGAATTTCATGAGTCCACTTTTTCTCCATCACAAGAAGGAAAAAGCATAATGGACCCAGATATAACAGATATAACATGTGACATTCCTTTCCATTCTGATCCAACTCAGCAGGGGATCAGTATGGGATCCCCTGCTGAGAGGGAACGGAGAATGCCTGTATGAAAAGGGCCTTAGAAGTTATTTCTAACAACTATTTAATCCACAAGCCTACTCCAGTCCCAGAATTTGTTCCTTAGGGAAAAATGTTTCCTTTTCTGAGCTTCACTTTGAAACACTTTTGAAAATGACAGTCAGAACTGAATAGGTTGCCTGGGTACGTTGCCTGGATACAGTATTTTCACTTTATCCTTAAAGTGGCTCTATGCACTGGCTGTTACTGCACACACGTAGTATGACCAGGAGCTAAAATCAGAGATAATACAAGCAGTGCATTGACAACTTTACCAATAGATCCATAAGTGACATTGGAGTGAAATCCGTTGACCGACTAAGAGTAAACAAATAGTGAAACAAGGTTGTCATTAGCGGTCGACCAATATTTTTTCCAGAGCTGATCCAGATAGTCAGCCACCTTTCACGCCGATATTCTTTACATTTAAAGAATAGTATACTAAGACCTGCAGACCCCAGGTGACCACACAGGCATGCTTGGACTAGTAGTCCCTGATGACCTCATGCTGGGACTAGAAATCCACTGATGACCTCACAGGCATGCTGGTCCTCTGGAGACCACAAGTATACTGGAAGTGGACCTGTCCCAGTATACGTGTGGTCTACAGAGGACCACAAGTCCCAGTATGCCTGCAAGGTCACAAGGGACTACAAATCCAAGCATGTATACCTGGTGTCTGCAGGTCCAAGAATATTTATTGTTTCCAGAGGAACACAAGTCCCAGTATGCCTGTGAGGTCATCAAGGAGGACTACTATAGAAGGGATTAGGGAATAACCTTTTTATTTTATCTTTATTAAAGCCTGCTTTGTACAGTTGCAGAGTCCAAGTATTACATATACATTTTTATAATTATTTAGCTTGAGCAGCTCTACATTGTGCCTGGCTGTGTGCCCTGTGTGCCTCCATCTCCTTTGCGCCTGCAGGAATTATGTGACAGACAGCAGTGAAAGAGATCACTCTGCAGAGGAGGCAGCACACAGGACACAGGCTGGGGAACTGCTGCTACAGGACACTGACCGCTCTCCCTAAAATAATTGGCAATATCAGCAAGATGAATACTGATGTTGATTTTTGCCCATAATAATCGGACGTGCAGATTATCGGTCGATCCGTAGTTGTCATTAAAGGAAACCTTTCCTGAGAGAAATATTGAGGCTGCCTTTGTGTACTTCTAATTCTATAAATGCTGATCACGCTGACCTTTCTGCTTCTTGGCCTAGAATAAGTGTGCAAATAAGGTCTTCTGACTTTATTCTGACTTCCCTGATCTGCATACCTAATTCATGCCAGTAGATCAGTGTACTGAAGCAAGAGGGACAGTCTAATACCCAGGCAACCGGCATTTTCAGGTAAAGTCAGCAATGCCAGACCTATATTTCTATTAGGAAATGTTTACTTTAAATCTGAACTTTAGGCACCTACAGAATATCAGTTAGTGCTGTTATGTACTGAATAAAGCCTGAAAAAAAGAATATATATATA